GACATCGTATTACTTGTTTTTAGATAGTCACAAATCCATTTGTCAGTAGCATCATACTGTCTCCAGGCTCTTGCTCATGTAGTAGCTTGGGGAAAGTAAGAAAGAGCAGGAGTCTTCCTATCTCCACCAGACTCAATCAAAAATAAGAAAAAATGCTGCTACTCTTCCAAGTATTCTGGGCATGCCAGAGGAAGAGAGGAGATTGGTGAATACAAAGAATGGCTGGCGAGTAAACCAAGCTAATTTGGTATATGAAGCCTTTATGTGATACATAATCTGCCACTTGAATATGTGGTGATATTATATGTTTTAGAGCAGCTTTTAGCTTTGAAGGATGCTTTTCTTCTACTCCCTGGTTTGTATTAATTGAACCCCTGCCCACGACTCCTGAGTGTGGAAATAGCTGTAGTGGGTAAGAAACTTCCCAGTGGAATAAGCTTTTATCCCAAGCTTTTAATCCTTTACTTTCATGCATTTGCATCTTGTGTTTTTTGTGTCCGTTTTACTGAAATTTTAACAGTAATTTCTGGGAACCAGTTGAAGAATATGCATAACAAGGTACTTTATGTTTGGAATAATAAGCCATCCCTCTTTCACAGATCAATGCTTCCTGTGCCACCTGCCGTTGGGCCAGCCTTCAGTTTTGAGCTGGATGTAGAAGATGGTGAAGTGGAAAACTATGAGGTTGGTTACTGATAAATAAGCATGTGAAGTATAGTCATGAGGACTCAATTATTTTTTTGGATTTTTTTTCTCAAGGTGTTAGATGACCTGTATTTGCTGCTGGAAGGCAGTTTACACAGTTTTAAATTTCACCTTCTTAACTGCCAGCTCTCCTTAACACTGACCAGAAATTGGAGTGGTTGTAGGGTGCTGTGAGGGAGGGAGAATCTAAAATTGTGTGGAAGAGTCTCATGGAGCGTTCTAGCAATTCTCCTTATGCATAGTACCTTTGAAGTACCTCCCCCTTTCATGCCACTGTTTTTAGAAGAGGGGAAAAAAACACATCCTTGGATGAAAACCATAAATTTGCAAACATCTTTATCTGGAACAGAAAAATACATTAATTCCACAAAACTACTTAATGTGTTGGAATATATTTACGCAGATGGATTTCTAAGATATTTTTCTATTCATTAGCATTTCATATGTTAACTACTAGATAAGAAAAGTGTATCTCATATGTATGTGTACATATATCCTTCAGATAATTCTGGTTTTGCATATCCTATAGATGGCATAATTCTGGTTTGTTCCTCATTACAAATTAGTGGTGATATGAAAAGACCCAGTTGAACTATGTTTAAAGTAGTTGTTTCTCTCACAGGCACTGCTGAACTTGGCAGAAAGACTGGGTGAGGCCAAACCAAGGGGATTGACAAAAGCAGATATTGAACAACTTCCATCTTACAGATTCAACCCAAATAACCATCAGTCAGAACAGACTTTGTAAGTTTTTCATACCTTTGTTGAAGCTTTAGTATGAAGGCATGTTATCTTGCTAGTCTGGAGTCTTGCACAGAAGCACCTGTAGGCTTAAAATTACTTCCCAGCTTGTATATATGTTAGCCTGGGGTTTTGAAGCGTTTTCAGTATTGAAGATACTTCCTAACCATTGAACTGAAATCTTAAGCATAAGGCACTGACATTTTAATTGTGGCTGTTTACTCACAATATTTTAGGTGTTTCTGAAGGAACACAGTTTCTCTCTTGCCCTCATCTAATATACTGGAATTGTACTGGCACAGCAGAAAATTAGGTGGAGGAAATGCCATTGCTGTAAGATGAGAACCAGCACTTCTGTAACTTCAGCAAATCAATCAAGCCTCCCTTCCTCTAATCTCACATTAGTATCTGCTTTTGAAATATGGAAATTATCAAATCAGTTTGCAGTGTAGCATGGAGTACAGCTTTTCAAGAGGAAAATGTATGCCATAAAAAGCATAAAAACAAAGTAACCTTTTTTTTAATTTTTACCTCTGTCCATATGAAATCTGGCCTTTTTTTAAAAAAAAAACTCTGCTATATTTTTGTTCTTCAAAAATGTATTGTAAGGATAAATAAATCTGCATTTTTGAAAAAATAAACATATAATCCTCACTGAGCCTCTATAATGGGTGTTAGAAGTTAAGCGGGAGAAGAGGATTTAAGGAAAAAAACTATTTTTTGTTATTCATCATTGTCATACGAGAATTCTAAATAAGAAAAATAAAAATGGTATTGCTACAAAAAACACAAGGTTTGAACTGGGAGATCAACAATTCAAATTTTGCATGAACTTAGACCAGACATTTCTAGTCTGCTTAACAGGACTACAATTTCTAGAATTGCTATTCAGCTTAGCTAGGACTTCTGGGATTCATAGTCAAGCTGAACTGTAATTCAGCTTGATGTGAAGACTACAGACTGTTTTGTTTTGTTTCTCTCCCAAAGTGAAAAAAGTAGCAACATTTTGGAAAGCATTACTCCAGTGAAATATT